ACTGTCCTTTATAAAATGACTGCATTTTGCAATCGGGGATAAAATTTACTGCAAAAAGTCCAATTTTCATTGCAAGAATAATGCTCTTTCACAGAGGAGCCATGGACAGTCCAGGGTTTGTACATCAGATAGTTTAGAGCAGTGGTTCTCAACCAGGGGTACATGTACCCCTGAGGGTACGCAGTGGTCTTCCGGGGGGTACATCAATTCATCTAGATATTTGCCTAGTTTTACAACAGGCTACAGAAAAAGCACTAGTGAAATCAGTACAAACTAAAATTTCATACAGACAATGACTTGTTTATACTGCTCTATACACTGAAATGTAAGTACAAAATTTATATTCTAATTGATTTATTTTATAATTATATGGTAAAAATGAGAAACTCAGCAATTTTTCAGTAATAGTGTGCTGTGACACTTTGGTATTTTTATGTTTGATTTTATAAGCAAGTAGTTTTTAAGTGAGGTGAAACTTGGGGTACGCAAGACAAATCAGACGCCTGAAAGGGGTACAGTAGTCTGGAAAGATTGAGAGCCACTGGTTTAGAGGCAGGTACACAGATTGCAAATGGCCCAAGTGTGAATTAAATAAGGCTTTTACCCTACTAGGAAAAAATATGGAAACAGGGAAATGAAGGCAGCAAAAAACAAAAAACAAAAACAAAAAAACAACCCACAAAGAGAGGAGATCTTGAAAAGCAGCAGGGATCTGGAGTCTTTGTGTTTGTGTGGGTTTCTCCTGCCCTCTAGCTCTGATCAGAACAGATGTGCTTGATGCAGGAAGAGTGATTAACAAGCCGAATCCTTAGTCCAATTTGGGTTTAAAAATGTAATAGGGAGGGAGGGTGTGGGGGAGAGAGGAGTATTAGAGAGATTTGGGTCTCTAAGAAGGTTAAATCCCCACAAATAGCATTCAGCCTGTGGCAGTTTTAAAGCAGCAAAATTCCCTTTATTTAAACACTTGGGCTTAAAAAAAATGTATATATAAGAAGATTTTGGAGAAATTATGCTTAAAATTTGTCCAGTTGTTTCCATGTCTGTCTGTACCGGTACCTGCTTAGGGAACATCATGCCTGTCTTTCCATGATCGCCGTCTGTTTTCCTTTTTCTCTCCATTTCCACCAGACTCATCGTGGGCTGTACCCCCATGCAGCCAGCCTGTCTGGGAGGCCAAATGGTTCCCCTTCTGATGAAACCCAGAATGAGAGGCATGAGGGTAGTAACCGGGGGCTCCCCAAGCTGGCATCTCCTGTGATCTGGGCAATTGAGTTACTCTGAGCTGATCCCAGGAGGGGAGGCCAAAGCAGCCATGTCCTGGTTTTCGCTAACCCTAAACTTTGCCAAAGCAGCTGCAGGGGCAGGTTGGGATTCGATTAGCAGAAATATTAAGTTAGAAAGGGATTTATTTCTAATGAAAAACAGCTTGGGAGCATTGTTAGGACCCTGGTGTGCTCCTGAGAGCGGGGCTCTTAGTCCTAAACCCCTTGGCAAGCGCTGGCAGGGAGTTTCTGGAGCAAGGTCTCCTGTGCAAGGGGGAGCTTTCTCCACAGCCTGGTGTGAGCTGTCAGAAAACACCCAGGCCACTGCCACTCAGCCCTCCCAACACAAAGGAGATGGTTGCACTTACTTGAAGAAGTCTTCCTTACAGTAGACGCTCCCGGCTCTGGAGAAGCACCTGTCCACTAGCTGCATCTGGCAGTCCGCGCACTTGAGGCAGGAGCTGTGCCAGTGCCTGTCGAGGACTTTCAGGATGAACTTATCCAGGATGTGCTGGTTGCAGCCAGCGCACTGGGGAATCTCTGACGAAGCAGCAGTCGGGGGAGGAGGGAGAGAGGAGAAGAGCAGGGTCAGTGAGGACGGCCCCATTTGGGGAAAGGAAAAGGCGCAAGAGGGCCTCGGAGGCCTGTATCTCCCTGCTCTGTGGGAACGGAGGGAGCCGGTCACTGAGTTAGAGATTAGCGTTCAGGGAGCTAAGCCCACCTGGTGTCCCACTCCCTTCTGGATGAGAACACTGCGTGCTCACCCAGTCCCCTGCTCTCCCGGCGCTCCAGCTACACCCCACGTCTGTGCTGAACAGCGTTACACCTCAGGAGTGCCTCAAGACCCCAGCGAGACGGCACAGATATAGTGGGAGACATCCCTTCAGTGGCTTCTGCTCCCCTTCCTCATCCAGGCCATCCCCCTCATCCTCCCCCTTAAGGCCCTGAGCAGCTTCAACCAGGCTCGCCTCAGCTCCCATGTCTTCCTGCCCCCTCTCCCTAACCTCTCCCCTCACCTCCTCCCCCTACTCTTGGCTTCCAGCCTTCTCTCACGCTGCCCCTCGTCCTTGGGGCAGCTTCCCGCTTCCTGCGCACCGACAGCCCCTTCCCTTCCTCAAAGCCCCCCTTAAAACTCCCTGCCTTCAGCCTCCCTGGACCGCTCTCACTGACCACGTTTCCCTGTTGCCCCCAGAGACAGCACAGCCACCACAGGGCTTGCTTCGTACTGGACGGGCACCGCTAGGCTCTAACTTCTTTGGGGTGGGGCCTCTATTGCTTTTCCCAGTGCCTTGGACACCTGTGGCACGAGATGAACAAGGCCGCCCACTCTGGTGCTTCCCTACATGCCTCATCCCCAGTGGGGAGTGGGCATGCCACAAGTTTCCCCTCCCAGAGATCCCGTCGGGGGTCCCCCTCCCAGGCCCATCCCAATGGAAGAGTCTGGGCTGTAACCCATGGCTCTCCAGGGCAGCGTTGGTGGCATAGAACTGCTCTGCAGAGGCACTTTGCTGCTCTCTGCCACCCATTGGCATCACAGCCATGGCAGGAGCCAGGGGCTCCCCAATGCACTCCTGCTCCCGGGGGTGGGGGTCTACTCAGCTGTGTGGAGGGAGACATTGCAAACCCTGTCCTCAGTTATTGTGAGAGTCCAACCAGCACCCCTTCCCCTGCCCCCCCACATATCGACATCCCGACCTAGCTCTCCCACGGCGCTGAGTGGGAGAGGCTCTGGCAATATCTGTGGAGCACGAGCCCCCTCCACTCACAGAAGTAGGCAGGCATAGACCTTCAGCTGTGGGGGGAGGGGCAATACATTAAAATATTCTTTCCACTAAAGAAGGTCTTACTAAAAAGTGGTTGTGGAGATGGCAGCTCCTGGATGGGGCTCAAAGCCAAGCTCCCGACCGTCCACTCCCACTAGCAATCCCCCAGCACGTTGTGTGAGAGGAGCAGCCACCCCCATGCCCTGGCGTAATTCCAGCCTGGTGAAGAACGCCCAGCTGCCTACATTCCCTGGCAGTTACGGGCTCTGTGTGAATCACTCTATATTGAATTTGACATAAAAGCCTAGGTCAGGTGACATGTACTTAGAGCACACACAAACTCTACCTGAGGAGAACATTACTGAGGTCGTAAAGTCCCACACACAGTCTCCCCGTCCCCGTCTCTTCCTCGCCCCCACTGACCTCCAGTCACCCACACACCCACGTTCCCTATCCCCACTGGCTCCCTGTCCCAGTGTCTCTACCAGACTCCTCCTCCAATCCCAGTGTCCCTCCTCCCAGTCTCTTTGCTCAGCCAGTCGCAGTTCTCCCTTCGCACTCTGGCTTCTCACCTGCTCTGTCCCCCTCCTGCCACCTCTTTCCCCCACCCCCTGGATCCCAGTCCCCACACACCTGACTCCCAGGCTCAATGCCCAACCAGTCCCAATATGCTCTGGTCCCCCCTCTGGCTCCCAGTCCTCATCACCCCCAGCAACTCCCAGTCCTACTTTCCCTCTCCCCCACCACCATCAGGCTCCAGTCCCCGTCTTCCCCACCAGGCTCCTTCTCCCAGTCTACAGTACTTCCCCTGCCAGGTCTGGCTCTTGTCCCCTCTGCATTCAGTTCAAGCAGCTTCCTCCCCAACCATGCCTGAGCCCAGGAGGGGAAGCAGTGAGAGCACATGAAGGGACAGGCTTCCTGCTCTCAGTTCAGGTGCCCAGACCCAGCACCGCTTGGCCTGAAACACCCATGAACTGCAATTGCTGGCAAAGTCCCACTGTGGACAAAGTCTTTGGGGAATTAAGCTGAGAAGTTCTAACAAGTCTCTACTGAGCATGTGCAAACTGCAATTTTTCAGAGGCTGGAAACTTGGGTGGCCAAATTTAGATGGCTTTTCACAAAGATGACAAATTGCTGCCCTTCTCTCCAAACTGCAAGTCCCTGATGTAAAGCACGGGAGCACTAGAACTTCGCAAACAAGAAAGGTCACCAGGATTTTTTAACATGAGCAAAACAACGCATTTTATTTCCCCTAGCCTTGTTCTTTGAAACCATTGAGCCATTTTGGCTCAAATTTTCCAAAACAATTCAGCCTGAGGCAGACACCCAGCATGGAACATTTCAGCCTAAAAACCAGTCAAAGTCTGGCAAATTTATAAGCAACTGAAAACTGAGTCTTTTTAATGGGAGGTGTCAAGCAACTTCAGTAACAGGTGGTGCTACCAGCCCCTGCCTATGATACAATGGATTGTGAGGAGTAGGGACAAGGCAGGATACATGTAATAGCTCAAAACAAAAGAATCTGTGAGGATTCAGCAGAGAGCACATAAGTGCTAATATAACCACCCAGACATGGGTTTTGGTGTTTAGCATGACTAAAAGCATGAGCCTCTACAGTTTAAGTTAAAGGAGTAACTCCTCTAGTCGGCAGCTATGTAAGGTTCTTATCCTCTTATATGGACCAGCTACTAGACGGTAACAAAGACATGCAGTTTGCTAGGGTGGAGTACACTAACAGATGATGATTCCAAACCCATCAGCAGGGTATCTAATGCAAACAGCGAGAGAGAGAAAAAAAAGTGACAGCATAGAAGAACGACACCAGTACAGAGCTAACACACCAAGATCATGGGGTTCATTACTGCCAGTAAAAGCAAGATTGGATGGTAGGCCCAGGTATTTGGTTTAGGGTTGCTGAGTCTCCAGGAATTAAAGATTAATCTTTAAAGATTATGTTGTGTGATGAAACATCCAGGGATACGTCCAACCAAAACTGGCAACCCTAATTTGGCTTGAAGGGACACATTGTCTATAGCTATGCAAAAATTCTCCTGTGCTACACAGATCTGCGTGGCAATCCAAAAGCAGACACCAAATCAGAGCATACTTGCTGATGTAGTTTGTACATCCTCACATTCACTGCAGTGTCAATGGGCTATGGTGTAGCTCCTTCACTTTCTGACCTAAATTGTTGCATGGTGTTCCTGGGCTCTGTTAAATGGCTACCCCAATCCACACCAAAGGTGGCTGAATTTCACAGTTGTCTGAAATAGTCCCACTGTGCAGTATTTATGCTTTGTAAAGAGCTTTTGAAATGCTTTGGAGTGAGAGGCTCAGTATAAAAGCAAGATATATATCTAGCTATCTAGACTCATATAAGATGTCTGTCTAGAGACAGACAGCTTATATAGATCTGGATAGCTAGATATTTATCTCCATTTCTATCTGCCTATAGTTCAGAATAAGCAGAGAGTGCTGTAAAAGTCTGCAAGAGAAGATTGCCATGTAAAAGCAATGCACATAATGCTGCCATGCATGCATAAAAGATGATTGATTTTAAAGAAATATGCCCTGTAGTAGGAGTGTAATATCACAGGAGATGTTTGTGCATCAGCTCTTTCTTTCACTTGTCTATTGGGCACTTGTCTATTGGTTTCAGGACGACTGACTAGCAGTAAATATTTGGGCATTTTTATGCCGCCACAAATCTAGAGAAGGGTCAGGAAAGAGTTACCGATTGTACCAAAATGAAACAGACAAGCTGATTGGCTTATTTATTGATATGCTTTTTAAAGCTCACACACATTGGCCAGCCTGAAGCCAGTTTACTCTGAGAAATC